AGAGAGAGAGAGAGAGAGAGAGAGAGAGAAAGGGAGAGAGAAAGAGAGACAGAGGGAGAGAGAAAGAGAGAGGGAGAGAGAAAGAGAGAGGGAGAGAGAGTGAGTGAGTGAAAGAGAGGTGAAGATAAAAGAGAGAAGGGAACACACAACTGAGAAGGAAATTCCATTTGCCTCGATAATGGAAAATAATATAGGTATACTTATGCCGTGTGCTGCCGTTACAAAAAAACAAAAACAAAACAACAATTATAATAAGATAAAGAAACGTAAGGCGGCGTGAAAACAACCGATTTATTGCCTTTTAGAGTTTGCAAAAAAAAAAAAAAACCGTAGGATCTATTATAGGGAAAACAGGAGGAAAGCGTAAGATTCTTTTAATTTTTTTTTTTTTTTTTTTTTTTTTTTCTCATGGCAGGAAACATATTTTAAATGAATATGATATAAGTTGACATTGAATGATTTACTTTTAAGAGGTTGTTGTTTATTTTGCTTTATATTGCTTTATTGACTGACTGACTGATTGACTGACTGACTCACTGAATGCATGATTGATTGATTTGTAAATTCTTTAGATATCGATAGGGATTAGAACTGAGAAATAGATGTGAGGGCTCGGGCAGGGAATATATTATATTTTGTTTACTGCTTTTATGCTTTAAAAAGAATTATATTTTTTTGGTAAAACATAAGATTCATTATTATTATTGTATGTATAATAATCAATCTATTATTTATTGTTGGTTTTGTAATATTCAAACAATGTTTGTTATATGTATATGTATAAATATATATGTGTATTAAAAAAAATGCTAAAATGTCTAAACTTTTTATCGGAAACAATCAGAAACAAAAACAAAACGATTTATATTTTGTATGCATGTGTAGTAATTATGCTAATACTTTGTATACAAAGTGAACAAAAGGGACATTTGATCAAATTGTCTAGATATTATTTTGCATTTTGGTTTGGTTTGGGTAAACGTATTAACAAATTTTTTATTGAACTATTATTAAAAATTTGTTTTTTTAACACTAAAAATATAATTTTATTTTGATTAATTTGCATATCGATTGCATAATACGTTCATCAAAAGGGAGAGAAAGTAAGAAAAAAAAAATTAGTAAGGAATTTTTTTTTTTGACTCCGATTGATATATATATATATATATATTATTATTATTATTATTATTATTATTATTATTATTATATAATATATATATATCGATCTTGTTTATGAATGTATATACTTATTCAGGTACACAGAGAGAGAGAGAGAGAGAAACAGAGAGAGATAGACGGAAAAGAGGAAGATATAAAGAGAAAGAGCGAGAGATATTCAAGTGATTAATAACGACAATTATACTGGTTGATGGTTATTTCTTTTGTGGTTTGGCTTTCATTATTTTAAATACAGTTTACATCACACACTTGATTGCCGCATAAGTATATATGTATACGTTATATTGAGGGGTAGGGTATGGGTTTAATAAATTCCTCATTGGGATTATTGGGTATTCGGATTAGTACCTAAAGATGTGTACGTTTTTATTTTTTTTTTTATTTTTTTATATTCGTTTGCGATTGATTGACATGACATACTTTGCATCTGCTCACGAGCCCTCGCATCGTAGTATTTTAGCGAAAAATGCTGTCCCATTTTCAGCCCACACTGTCGATCTTAACCAATAGTAGCAGAGTTGCTGTGATGATCGCAGCTATCGTAGCAGTTCTGTAGTATTATAGAGATAGTCGACGTTACAAAGTGTTTGTTGCCGTTACCATGGAGAATTGAATGAACGCTCTCCTCCCCAGTTCAACGCCCATAATGACCGTATCGTTATTTAACGCATTCTCAAATATTACCCCATTTTCTGTTTTCAGTTTTTGAAATATTTTATTTTATTTATTCTTTTTTCAATTTTTGATTTTTATTTTTAACAAATATATTTTGCAATTATATATTCGTACTTTTTGTTCGCATATATACACACACACACACAGAGAAAGAGAAAGAGAGAAAGAGAGA